CTTGTTACAGATTGTGTCATGGACTGTAACGCCTTAAGCTCACAAAAGTGTGCACGTGACCAGGGCCTGAACCTGGACACCACACCGAGAGCTCCAGCGTTGTGCTAGGCCACGCAACGCGCGTTAATTAATTAACGCGCACCGCGACGCGTTTGTTTACACTTACGTGTTGCTCTAGAATTGTATAAATAGGTAGATTATTATTGAATAAAACTAATCTTAACTATACCTACGGGACAAGGCTTACAATTGGTATTTGCGAAAAAATGCGACATTCTGTATGTTTCAGGAACGGGCTCTGGCAAATCATTGACGTTCTTATTACCTATTTTTTTGGAAGCAAGGCTAATTCGCAGTTGGTCAGCGTGCTAGTTGTCCCATTGGTTGCTTTGAAGGGTGACATGGTAAGACGTGCAACAGAAGCGGGCCTCCATGTGGAGACTCAATGGACAAAATACGAAAAATCCTTGCCCATATCTTCTGTAATGCCCGATTTATTTGTTATTACAGTTGATCAAGCAGTTTGCTTGCCCTGCTTGGAATGGCTATCCTCTTTGGCAAAGCAGAATGTTCTCGCACGCGTTGTTATTGACGAGGTTCACACAGTGTTGAACGATTATTCGTGGCGAGAGCGTATTCGTCTGGTGTACAAGTTAGCTGAACTTCATACGCAATTGCTTTTATTGACGGCTACATTGCCCATTGAACAAGAGTCGATGATCCCCCGAGTGTTTTGCGCGACTCCTGTCATGGACCATGCCTTAGTCCAGTGTAAGGCCGTGGTCCATGGCCGAGTGGTACTGGGGAGACTGTACCAGGTTCGAGTGAGCTGCTATGACTTTTTGGCGCTCCGGTTCGAATCCTGGGTTTCTCTCCCACTAAGCTCGGCACGTGCTCGGCTAGCTGCGAGTCTATTGCAGCAGCTACCGGCACGGAACACCCAAGTGCCGCGTGAGCCAATCGGAGGCTATTCCGCCTTCCCCGCTCCGGAACAACAATGTTCCCACGAGTCTTACGACGAGCGGACGGCGATAGCATCTCCGCGTGGCTCTGTAGATCCGATCATAGCGTGATCGGGTTAAGCACGCCATACCTTATCAGTATGGCCTGTTAACCCCGCACGCTACGGTATCTACGGTGATTAAACTCTTCCGAGGCAAGAGTGATCACGTAAGCAGCATAGCATAAATAGTGGACAAGTTCCACAACTAATAATCATCAATTTCTTATTTCAACAACTTGAGCACCAACTGGACTGTTAGTGACTCCGTTTTAAAATTCGTGTCGGAACTACGCAAGTTGAAAGCATACTTGAGCCTGGACGATGGAACTGTGCTGGATCAATTTCTTCGAGGCTCAAAGTCAGTTATCCACAGAGAACTTCACCTGCGCAGCTCGGACTCGTTTGAAGAAGCCATCAAGATGGCTTCCTACTTGGATACGAATCCAGAGGAATAGAAGAATTCCCAGAGCCTGCACGCATTCCCCAACGACCGATATATGGATCTAAGATCTCATGCAGATGGATGCCATGCGTGTACAAGGAGCAGGCTCATCTGAGCGAGTACGCTTGTTCGTCGAAGGACGCTGCTTCAAGTGCTGGCAAGTAGGACACCTAGCTAGGAACTGTCCTAGCAACAAGAGGACTCCCAATCGCGGCCCAGTGCCGATTCCAGTGATTTATTTGGACCAGGAAGGTCGAGAGGTGTCTCCTCCTAAGACACAACGTCAGGAAAAGACGGAGAGGAAACCAAGAAACGACGAGACCACTAGTCGTAGTCCCGTAGACCCTGAATACAATTTGTTTGACAATTATTCACCGCTGCAAGCAAACATGGTAGGAAGGTTGACACTAGCGCCGCTGGTTTGCTCACAATTGACCGGACTTCTTCCGGCGGTGGAGGCACCACCTCTGGTGCATTGCAAATTAATGGGACAAGACTGTCGAGCATTGCTTGATACAGGTTGTGCCACCTACATCGTATCAGAGGACTTTGCACTGCGTCACGGACTTCCAATTCTACAAACGGCTTCCCGCCCCGTTCAACTGGCGGTAGAAACAAAGGAACTCGTGGTGCTGGACCGTTGTACCGCGCCAATAACGGTGCAAATCGGTAACACGGTAACCAAACAAAGCTTCTTCGTTGCGAAACAGGCAGCAGAGCACGATGCAATTTTGGGAATACCTTTTTGGAACAATTTTGGAGTTCAGCTGAACGGGAATCGAGTACGTATCAATGGGGATCAAGTGTCCCGAGCTAGGCACCTGGAAAAACGCCCCTGGATTGCGGTGGAATGCGTGTCCAGAAAGACAATGAAGAAGCAACTGGACAGATCGGACGAAATCCGTTTTTTGTTACAACTGAGAGCTATGCTAGTGCTCACTGAAAGGTGGAAGAAGCAAGACCACATCCACAACTACCGCAGCTGACGGAATTGCTGGACGAATTCAACGACAGGTTACCCGCCGAACTCCCTGATGGCCTTCCGAAATCGGGAGAAGTGGAGCACACGATCCCCTTTAAGCCAGGATGCGAGCCGGTGTGCCGGCCGCTGTACCGCCTGGCACAACCGGAGTTGGAAGAGCTGCGAAGACAGTTGGACAACTTACTGAGGGCGGGAAGAATCGCCCCGTCCGTAAGCCTTGAACCGTAGGTATAGTTAAGATTAGTTTTATTCAATAATAATCTACCTATTTATACAATTATAGGACGACGCGTAAGTGTAAACAAACGCGTCGCGATACGCGTTAATTAATTAACGCGAGTTGCGTGGGTGCGGTCAAAGACCGCAGGCTTTCGTAGCGTAGTGCTGCGTGGCCTAGCACAACGCTGGAGCTCTCGGTGTGGTGTCCAGGTTCAGGCCCTGGTCACGTGCACACTTTTGTGAGCTTAAGGCGTTACACCTTCTCACCTCCAGAAGAGAGCACACCCTCCGGCACCTCCCCACCTAGTGCCTTTACTTTTCGCTAGTACGTCCGGATGACGTCTGGCACAATGTGGTCGGCGGGCTCCCAGACGTCGTCTTCCTCGGTATAGCCCGACCACCGGACCAAGTATGACCACTTCCCATAGTGGTTCGCGTGTGCCAGGAGTTCTTCGACGTCGTAATCGACGTCAATGGATCCGTCTGGGTTGTACACCGGGTGAGCCTTCGAGTCGGGGGGCAATTGGAGCTTTGCGACGTTCCCCCGTCTCTTCAGAATTTTGAATGGGCCATCCCAGCGGCGAATCGTCCAGGAATTAGATCTTCGTCCGGCTCCCTCCGGTGCTTGTTCCCTTCCCTCTCCTGGTGCTCCTGGGCCCGCTGCATTGAGTCGCGGGCCCTGCAGATAGTGTCGTTCAGGCTCGAGAGGTATTCCTCTACAGCTGGCTCGTCACTAACTGCATGGCGGGCGATCCCAGTGGGAGTAAAACCATAATTAGCTTGGAAGGGAGTTGTACCAATCGATGAGTGCACGCTGTCATTGTACGCGTACTCTACGAGAGGGAGCAGGGATTCCCATCTGCTTGGGTCGCGCCAGGCAAGCGTCCTGAGCATCTGCTTGACAGTCCGGATGGTTCTCTCGGACTGTCCGTCGGTCTGTGGATGCGCGGCCGTCGACATCTTGAGCTTCGTGCCCAAGATTTTGTGTACCGCCTTCCAGAAACGGGCCTTGAACCTCGGATCTCGGTCTGAGGTGATTGTTTCAGGCAGCCCGTGCAGCCTAAAGACGTTGCGGACAAACAGGTCCGCCGTTTCTGTTGCTGAGATGGTCTGTCGGCACGGTGCCAACACGACCATCTTCGTGAGTCGATCTACGACCACGAGAACAGCGTTGTTGCCCTCGGCGTCCGTCGCCGTCATGGGCCCGAAGAAGTCCATGGCGATTTCTTGCCATGGGCGAGTGGGAATGCTCATGGGTTGCATCAACCCTTGAGCTGGTCCAGAAGTACCTTTGGAGAGCTGGCAATCGTGGCACTCTTTAACGAACTTCTGGACATCGCGATACATCCGGGGCCAGTAGAACACGCGGGCCAGTTTCGCATAGGTTCTGTCGACTCCCGGATGGCCTGCTATCGGTGTACTGTGATGGTCAAACAGCAGTTTCTGCTTTGTAGTCCATGGCCGAGTGGTACTGAGGAGACTGTACCAGGTTCGAGTGAGCTGCGATAATAGAGAAGACCGTCTCGAATCATGAAGCGCTCCGGTTCGAATCCTGGGTTTCTCCCCCAGTAAGCTCGGCACGTGCTCGGCTAGCTGCGAGTCTATTGCAGCAGCTGCCGGCACGGAACGCCCAAGTGCCGCGTGAGCCAATCGGAGGCTATTCCGCCTTCCCCGCTCCGGAACAACAATGTTCCCACGAGTCTTACGACGAGCGGACGGCGATAGCATCTCCGCGTGGCTCTGTAGATCCGATCATAGCGTGATCGGGTTAAGCACGCCATACCTTATCAGTATGGCCTGTTAACCCCGCACGCTACGGTATCTACGGTGATTAAACTCTTCCGAGGCAAGAGTGATCACGTAAGCAGCATAGCATAAATAGTGGACAAGTTCCACGACTAATAATCATCAATTTCTCATCTTTTCAACTTGAGCACCAACCGGACTGTTGGTGACTCCGTTATACTTGGTTGCGAGGCTTCCGTTTCTTCCTCGCCTGGCCCGCCTGAAAGCGCATCATGGACCAACCCCGGCATACGCAATCCAGGATCCAGACGAGGTGGCCGCGCAAACCTATGAGGTGGAAGAATTGTTAGCACACGCAATTCATGAGTCCAAAAGATCTTACCTGGTCCGCTGGGTGGGCTACACCGAAGAGGACGATGGTTGGGAGCCCGAGGAGCACATCGACCCGGGCACTGTTAAGCGTTACTGGCAGAAACTTCGCGCGCTAGGCGCTGACGTGCCGTCGGGGGCGCCCCCACCGTAACCCTCCACCGCGAGAAAATGGCCTCCACATCTCCTGCGGGGGCATGCCTCAGTTAGAGGTGAGAGAGTATAAGGCCGCATAGCGTAGTTTGCTCTAAACTCACTATGTGCCCTTGCGAAGGCTAGCGCGTTGCGCTAACCCAGACAGGCCTCTAGCCATGTAACACCTTGCTACTTAGTTTGGTAGGAGAATTAAATGATGATTTTATTTGTATTTTTCTAGGTTTTTTATAGCAATAATTCTGTCCAGTTTTGCATCTGGAGTGACGGTAATCCCGGAATTATTGCTAAGGTTGACTCCTTAAGGTGGAGGTTGGAACAGGGCCTTTGAAGTAAGGACTTGCATGTCCTACTAAACAAGAAAGGCTCTGTGGCCTAGGGGTAACTCTGAACCTTCGAACGATTGTTCGTCGGTTCGAGTCTTGTTGTGACCTCATTTAACGAGGTCCAACCTACAGTCCGTTACAGTGTTCGTCAGCAAAGTATACATTTTCAACGCTCGGTTGTGCTTGTCCCAGTACTCCTGTATGGTGGATTCCTGGACGTGGTCAGCCGGTTCCCACGTGTCGTCTTCCTCAGGGTAGCCGCTCCAGCGTAACAA